CCCATTCATCTGGGTATGGAGAACCCTAGATTTGTATGTTAGGTTTGATTGTATGAACCCGAGTACTGATTCTATGAGTTGATTATATTCGATTGAGGTTTGAATGATTGAATGACTTGAATCCTGATCAAATTCCTGTTATTTCTGCTTTGACATGGAATGAGAATATCTGCCTAGGTTGATAGAGCATCCTTGATTGAAGGTAGGGAGTTGGTGACCTTAGTCGAGGAGCCAACTCACTATTCTGTACCGGATTTACTCTGATAGTGGAGGTTTTGTTTGTTAAGGCCTCAATCTGTTTACTCCGGTGGAGGTTAGTCGCCCGCTAGAGACTCAGATTGAGAGGGTCTGAAGACCTTTAGTCGAGACTTCAGGCTGTTTAAGAACCTTCCGAAGTATAACTATCATAGAAACTGAACTTGGTAATTACAATCCGGCTTAACTGCAGTCTAGGGGGAACCATATCCGGGTGACCTCTCTTAACCTGAATACAACAGTTTACTTGCTTTGTTAGTTTGATAGTTTAGACTTGCATTCCAGTTTCATTGCTAGATAACAAGAATTCACTGAGTAGTCATCAGATCTAGGACCCGGGTTGACATATAAACCTAACCCGCTATACTACGCTTTAGGAAATGGTTTCACTTGGCCAATTCCTGGAGTGACTGTAGAGTCGAGTCAAGGAGCGAGTTTGAGGTCGATTGGACGAAGATCGGGCGCGAGGCAAGTCACAAAGGAAGCCACACGGGCACACTCACAACTCACACGGCCGTGCAAGTGACCAATTTGGCTGTGTGGGATTGTGCGAGGCTTCACACGGCCAGCCCTGAAAGTCACACGGCCGTGTGAAGTTGCTATTTGGCCGTGTGGAATTCTGCGAGGCTTCACACGGCCTGGCTGGGTGAGCTACACGGCCATGTGGCCCTGGCCGTGTAGGAAGCCTGAAATCCAATTACTCGGAACGCGGCGTTTTGAAGTCACACGGGCAACTGGATATGCCACACGGCCGTGTGGCCCTGCCCGTGTGAGTCGGGAATTTCTGGTTTTTACCCAATTTCGGGCTGCAAGTGAGAGAATCGGATTTTCAGAGCAAAAACAGAGCCCTAGAGAGAGAAAGTACGAAGAACACATCCTAGAAGCTATCTTGGAGCTGGGTTTCATCAAATCGAGCTTGGAGATCGTCATAGGAGTGGAAATCATCATCCCAGAGCAGATTCTTCCCATTGTTATGAGTATGACTGCTTTGTATTCTGTTTTCCCCTATCTCTCTCTATGGAGTAGAACCCTTCTCTCACTTGGGTATGAAGAACCCTAGTTCCATGTGTTAGGGATTTGATTGTAATGACTTGGGATGATATTACTGTTTGGTTTTAATCGAATGATGCATGTTTATTGAGTCAATTGAAGTCTGATCAGCTTTTCCTGATTTCTGCTGCAACCTGAGATAGATAGAATCTGATTAGGTTGTTAGAGCCTCATCATTCGGTAGTAGGAGATTGGCTATACGAGAGTTAGCCAGTTTACTGCTTTGTACTGGAATCCAATTCCAGTAGTGGAGTTCTGTGCTTATTGCTTCAGCTTTCTATCCCGGTGAAGACTAGTCGTCTGCCGGGTAGTTAGACTAAGAGGGCTTGGTCAGCTTAAGAGATTCCAAACTACTGTCGGATCTTCCGCAGTCTAATCAACAGTAAATCAACCCAGGGAAATTACAATTGAAACCTAACTAAGGAGCTAGGGGGACTCATTCCCGAGTGACTCTTCTTTGCTTGAGAAAACCGTACCAATTCCTGCTTTCTTTCTGCTTTTGCTTAAAACAACAAACACTTAACTTAGTTGGCTAGATAATAGATACTCACAGAGTAAGCAGTAGATCTAGACCCCGGGTTGATAATAGAACTTGCCATTTTACTGCATTCCCGGACTGCGCTTACACTTGGTCGCAGTTTGGTGTTGTGTTTTGGCGTGTCAATCACTTTATGCATGGCTGCAACAGATATCATAAACCAGTAAAGGATGACTGGCGAGCATCAACAAATCCGCCAACGCTATCGAGCGTTAAAGAAGTACAGTATACGATAAATGGCGAGCATCAACAAATCCGCCAACGCTGGCGAGCGTTAAAGAAGTACAGTAGATGATGACTGGCGAGCATCACCAAATCCGCCAACGCTGTCGAGCGTTAAAGAAGTACAGTAGAAGATGACTGGCGAGCATCACCAAATCCGCCAACGCTGTCGAGCATTCAAGAATTACAGTAGAAGATGACTGGCGAGCATCAACAAATCCGCCAACGCTGTCGAGCGTTAAAGAAGTACAGTAGACGATGAATGGCGAGCATCAACAAATCCGCCAATGCTGTCGAGCATTAAAGAAGTACAGTAGACGATGAATGGCGAGCTTCAACAAATCCGCCAACGTTGTCGAGCGTTAAAGAAGTACAGTAGACGATGAATGGCGAGCATCAACAAATCCGCCAACGTTGTCGAGCGTTAAAGAAGTACAGTAGACGATGAATGGCGAGCATCAACAAATCCGCCAACGCTGTCGAGCATTAAAGAAGTACAGTAGACGATGAATGGCGAGCATCAACAAATCCGCCAATGCTGTCAAGCGTTAATGAAGTACAGTAGTTGATGACTAGCGAGCATCAACAAATCCGCCAACGCTGTCGAGCGTTAAAGAATTACAGTAGACGATGACTAGCGAGCATCAGCAAATCCGCCAACGTTGTCAAGCGTTAAAGAAGTACCATAGAAGATGACTGAAGAGAATTAACAAACGGGAGCTGAGGAGCGCCCCTACCATTCAATACCTCACGGGAGCTGAGGAGCACCCCTACCAAATTAATACCTCAGAGGAGCTGGCGAGCCCCTCTATCAGTCCACAACGAACGGGAGCTGAGGAGCGCCCCTACCATTCAATACCTCACGGGAGCTGAGGAGCACCCCTACCAAATTAATACCTCACAGGAGCTGGCGAGCCCCTCTATCATTCAACAATGCACGGGAGCTGAGGAGCGCCCCTACCATTCAATACCTCACGGGAGCTGAGGAGCACCCCTACCAATCAATAACTCACAGGAGCTAACGAGCCCCTCTACCAGTCAACAACGCACGGGAGTGGAGCAAAGCCCCTTCCATTCAAAACCTCACAGGAGCTAGCAAGCCCCTCTATCATTCAACAACGCCCGGGAGCTGGCGAGCGCCCCTACTATTCAATACCGCACGGGATGCTGGGCGGCTACACGAGCTGGCGCAGCTAGCTTAGGGAGCTGTTATGGGCCGTTCAGGCTTGGGCCTTGATGACTGAGTCTGGTCCAATAATTCTCAAACTCTAAAGAGCTTGAAATTTCCCATATCAGTTAGCATGATCATTCATACACAAGAGTGTACATTTCTCACATCACTCCAAAATCACATCCTTTATAAGGACTCTCTAGCACAAAAATCATATTATCTTTACAAAATGTGGTGTCTTTATAGAAACTTTGTATAACTCTTTATACAAAGAGATATACAAAGGGGGACAACTGTAGACACCACATTTTGTCCGAGATAATCATTTTACTAAAAAAGAAAACTCATTGTAGCATGGTACTACAATTATATTTGAAAAGGTAGCTTAAAGTTATTTGGTTGAGACTAGCAGTAGCAAGTCAATATGAACCAACGAACTACGTGGACTTTGATCCCGTCTAACGGGTACGTAGGCAACCGATAAGGTTCGAGTCCAACTAACCAATTAACTTCATCTTTTACGTCAGTGGGCGTACAATTAAATTACAATTAATACGATTCAATTTCTTTAATGGTCCAGTGGGACCCTCAAATTACAAAAATATTACAAAATACACCCAACTCGTATAAAACTTATCAACTTAAGTAGTACCGATTTAGGGCGTTGTGGGGTGTGATTTCACTTCCCCACACGTAACCGTACTCCCGAACCCAAATTTCTTAACCGCAGACCATATCTCGGTTCTGACCCTAAGGTCGGAGCCGATTCGAAGAGTGTTCGATCCACTCCAAGTAAGATCGATGGCGATTCCCAAAAATGCCAACGTGACGACATTCGGACCCCTCGGAGGGACGGTTGCGACATGGTGAAAACAACAATCTAAAGCTAAAGAGTTTGCAAAAGTAAATGGATTTGACACTAATTGAGAAAGCTTCACCCAGGTGTTGCTCCCCCTAGATAGCAATTACGACTTGTTGGATCAAATGGTAGTGTGTGGTGAGGGGGTTGTAAACCGTAAGGAAGTGTACAAGTGGCCAAGCGCCACCCTCTTAGTCTCTAGGTCGAGGGAAATGGATGCAATCCAAGCCACCGACGTGACTCTCTCAATCTATTGACTAAGGATTGGTTAGACTTCACACTCAAATCGGAGTTCAGATGGCAACCCACAACCAAACCTTAGGTGCTAATACAAAATAGGTGGTTTGCCCTGCATTAACCTAACTAGGAGACAATAAATTGCCTAAGAAAACTCAACATTCAAGCTTCTTTCAAAGAAAGGAAAAGGGGGGGGGGGGGGGGGGGAGGGTTCTCTCTATCTAGTTTAGAATGGCAATTAGATTGATTAGCTTTCACACAACACAATCATTCATGAATAATACCTCCACATTCACATTAAACACAACCACACACAAATCATTCAATCCATACAAGCATTCACATAATTGTAGCTAGGGTTTACAAACACCCAAGTGAAAGAAGGGACTACTCCATGCTAGGAGAAGAGAAAACACAAGAGAGAAGAAGGAAAACCATCAAAGATATGCTAGCCTTGCTCATTGTGTCGAAGAGATCCTCCTTTGGGGGAGGAATTCCGAAATCCTTGCTTGAAGATGAAATCCTAGCTTCTCCTCTTATTTGATTCGTCACTTTCTCACTCTAGAAACCTAAAGAAGAAGAATTTTCTCACACTAGGTCTCTTCTTCTTCTCCTTTAGCTCAACCTCGCTTATATACCCAGATTGGGCTCAGTTCACGGTCTTAATACCGTCTTAGTTCACGGTCGTGAACTGAAAGCCCAGACCGCGAACCAACGTTGAAACGCGCCGCATCACTAATCCCAGTTCATGGGCAATGGCCTGAGTTCACGGCCGTACGACCGTGAACTAACTCGTGTCCAGTGAAAACCATTTGTGTTCTGGATGCCTGAAAGTTTGTGGGAATCGCCTTCAGTTCACAGTCTTAGTGATCGTGAACTCACAGCCCAAACCGTGATCTGCTGATGTTTCCCCCGTTTGACTTGATTTTTCGTCCTTTCGTCCAACTTGCGACTCTGGGGTTGATTCCACCTGCCAAAGTCTGAAAAACACCAAAACAAGGCACAACCCGGCGTAAAACCAAACCTCCCGGAGTAAAAATACTTCAAACGACTAAGCAAACTGGGGGTAAAAAGTGTACAAATGAGCCCGAATCATATTGGTTTCCTTGTCAATCAGGTTTGAGATCCTAGCAGATCTATCTAACTCATTTGAAACTAAATCTGGTGTGAAACTTGACTTGTTTGGTATCCATTTATCATACCAGACATAAACATCTTCTCCATTGCCAACTCTCCATCTCAAACCTTATTGTAGGAGATGCCTCGAGCTCATGAGACTCCTCCACATAAAACTTGCATTTGGCCCCACTCTTGCACTTTTAATATCCGAATTTGGGAAATAACGAACTTTCAACATCCTTGTAACGAAAGATATTGGACGATTCAATATATTCCATACATGTTTAGCCAGTAATGCCTTGTTGAACGCTTTGAGGTCTCTGAAACCCAATCCTCCCTCATTTTTTTCATCACAGTCTATCCCATTTAATTCAACTGATTTGACTCTCCTCCCTTTTTTGCTCCCACCAAAAGCTTGTGATCAGATTTTGAATCTCATCCAGGATTTCCTCTGGAACCTGGAATACCATCATAGGGTAAATAACATGGGCCCGAGCCACCGACATAATGAGCACTTCCTTCGCAACTTATGATATAGTCTTCGCTTTCCAATCTTTTAGTTTATTTCTGATTCTTTCTTTGAAACCAACAAATATAACTTTCTTTGATCTCCCAATAAGAGTAGGTAGTCCAAGATACTTTTCATGCTTGTCCACTTCCTTTATTTCCAAAATGTTGCATAACTCTTGTCTTCTATTTTTATTGACTTTTTTGTTGAAATTTAGCTATGACTTAGAGAAATTTATTTGTTGTCTAGATTCTCTCTCGTAGGTTCTTATAATCCATCTGAGTTTTTCACTCTTCCTTTGTGGATTTGGCGAAGACCACACTATCATAAGCAAAAAGCAGATGGGAGACCTGTAGTGCTCTTTTGCTGATTTTAATTCTATGTAGTCACCTCTTCCCTCTGCTGATCTAAATAAAGTTGAGAACCCTCTGCACAAATCATAAAGAGATAGGGGGAAAGAGGATCACCTTGTTTAATCTCTCTTGTGGGTCGGAAATCACTAGATCTGTGTCCTTTAACCAGTACCGAGCACGTCACTGATGATATACACATCATGATTAAATTGATCCATATCTCATGAAATCCCATTTTCCTCATAACCTTTTCCAAAAAACTCAATTCAACCCTGTTGTACGCTTTAGTTATATCTAGTTTTGCTGCAAAAAAAACCCTTCTTAATATTGCAGCAGTCCTTCATGTGATTGAAACATTCGAAAGCTGCAATTATGTTGTCTGTAATAAATCTCCCTGGAACAAATGCACTTTGTTCTTCACTGATTATCTTTGAAAGTATGGCTTTGAGCCTGTTTGCCAAAACCTTTGAATTCGGCTTGTAGATTACCTTACATAGACTTATTGGTCTATATTCCTTCGGTTCGGTCGGATTTTTAACCTTAGGAATTAGAAAAATACGTGTGTGATTCAACTCTTCCGAGAGATAGCCATTTTCGAGGTATCCCAAAACTGCATTTGTGATTTTTGGTCCCACAACCTCCCAATTTCTCTTAAAGAAAATGGCTGAAAATCCCCCATTTGCATCAAGGCTTTCTCCCCCTCCTACGCTTTGAAAGGAGCCAACAAAAGGTTGTTCATTTTTGCTAATACTCGTTCTTGAATGGCATTGATCACTTCATTTGATTCTGCCTCTGCCTCTGGCCCTTTTAGGTATAGATCCTCTAAATATCTGTTGATAACCTCCATAACCTCATTTTGACCTCTGTAAATTCTGCCCTGTTGTCCTTTTAGTTTCTTAATAGTATTTCTCTTTCTTCTGGCTTATCATGGAAGAACTTTGTGTTTTTGTCTCCTTCATTGATCCATTCTACTCGAGATCTCTGTCTCCATTTGCATTCTTCTTTCCGTAACAGATATGTTTTTCTGCCAATAGGGATCTCTTTTGTGCCATAACTGTATTCGTCTTCGGGCTTCTCCTTAACTTTTTTAGTTTTGTCTCTACAAACTCCAACCTTCTCTTTATACTGCCGAAATTTTCTTTACTCTAGCTTGTCAGCTCTTGTTCACAACTATTCAGAATATGAAGAATATCATCATTCCTTCCTCTATTCCAAACTCTTTCTACAACCTGCTTACTTTCTTCTTCTTTTAACCAGAATGGATCCACATTGAAATACCACCCCCACTTTATTTCCTCTTCCTCAAAGCCTTTGGCGTCCAACAATATTGGGTAGTGATAAGATCCTTCCCACTCAATCTGAGGCACTTTGGAAAGGTAGAACTTATTTTTCCATTCCAAAGTAGCAAAACACCTGCCAATCCTTTCTTCAATGTATGCCTCTCCAACTCTATTATTTTTCCAAGTATAGGGGTAGCTTTCAAAACCATAGTCCAGAAGTCCACAACATTCAAGAGATTTTCTAAAGAGTCTGGCCATTTGTTCATCTATTTGTCAGAACCAAAGTATAGGGGTAGCCTTCAAAACCACAGTCTAGAAGTCCACAGCCTTCAAAACCATGGCCTGAACTTTTCACATAATAAATATCCTGACCAAACTTTTCGATCTATAACATCATGACCCAAACTATGCATCAAAGTTACGAAGTTGGCCAAACCCTAGTATTGATCGTTATGTTTAACGATCAACCTGCCAAGTCAACATAAAAATACTTAAAAAATCACTAAATTTCACATATTATGTAATTTTGAATTATTATAATAAAATTAAAAAGAAAAATTAAAATTTCAAAAAAAAAGAAAGAAATTAAATCCATCCATCTCATCTCCCCCTTCCACTCCCTGCTGCCGAACAACCCCGCACCACCGCCACAATGGCAATCGCCGGCGGGAACACCAGTACGTCCACCATCATTTTGAACGTTTGTCTCCTCACCACCTTCTCGAACAAGAACTCGGTTAGGGTCAGCAGAAGCCCGTACCCAACGGGTGCCTTGACCGTGCAGAGAAATCTGATCGCAAAATTGTGCCTCGAGGAATCGGATTGGGACGATTCGGCGGAGCTTGGGTTTGCAAAGACAAGGAGAATTGGGGAAAAAGTGACTAGATCTAGGGAATTGAGGATGCAAACGATGATTTTCTGGAAATTGTTTAAGAAGGAGAAGAGGGCATTGAACCTTAATTGTGACGCGGAGATTAGGGAGTAAGTTGACACTGAGGATAAACCAAGTCCGCCACGTCCATAGTTTTAGACTCGATTTTAGGGTTTTTTATCAATTCATTTCTCCTCGAGCTCCTCTTCTTCCTCACCGTTTGTTGAAATGGCTTCTCGGGGGTGGAATCAAACTTGAGAGATAGATGATGAGAGGATCGGCATGGTGGTTCGACAGTCTGCGGAGTCTGCTGGGTGAGGAAGCTTGACGTCGGAGGGAGAGGAGACGATCGTTTTGGAGACTTGAAGTTTTTTGCCGAGGTGTTCGAGTTTCAGCCATTGAAGCACTAGGGTGTTTGGGACCGTGTTTTAGTTGCATGGACATGGTTTTTGGCATTTTGTTTTGCAGAAATGGGAGAGAAGGAAACAGAAGGTGGTCTCATAAAACATTCCATATAGGGCTCATTTGGATGAATGATTAATGAGGAATTTTAGACTAAAAAACCACATAAAAACCTAGATACTTGAAAGGTGAGTTTTGGCCAAATTACATGTTTGGGATGGATGTGTTTTTGAGTAAAGCAAAAAAAAAAAAAAAATACTTTTGCCCTACTTCCTCCTGTCTTCTTCAAAGAAACCCAAAAAGTATAGAAATCGTCGAAAAATCCAAAAAAGTACAAAGATGGGCTTAAACAGACAAAAAACCTTCTTCTTGGTAAGAGAAAATTTGCTACACACTTGTTGTTAGGAAGAGGTAACTTGAAATCGAGGAGTGACCGATGCATTAAACACAAAAGAGTGTCTCAATTTCACACACTGTTACTTATAAGCTAGCGAAAAAAGTCTTCCACGTGTCGTTTGGATATGAGATTTCAGTCCAAATATTACATATGGATCATTTAGCATAAAAATCTATGTTTATTTTGTCTAAAAATAAGTGAGCTTGACAAGTGAAGTTTAAGTCTAGATTCTCACAATTTGCGGGAATAGAAAAATCTAACAATTTCGTCTTTTTTCAAATCTTACTTTTTATGTTCAAATTTCACATAATGGGAATTTGAAGTCAAATTATACATTTTCAGTTCTCTCGTTCAAGAGATCCATAAGATTTATGCAAGCTAAACTGTTGGCTCTGTCATTAATCTTTTGCTTGATATGACAATGACTTTTTCTATATCTTCTGAAATAGAAGAACTAGGGATCGTTTGCTTATTGGATTTGCCACCTAAATCTTCAACATTATGGACTTGTCTCAAAGTCCATTGTTTGCTTGACTTTTTTTGAGGGACCAAATATGTGGCATCCATGGATTTTGAAGGTTCACATCCACGTGTCCCATGAACATACTAATTCTCAAGGTTGGAGGTGAGATTCGGATGAGGGTCTAAATTCCTCCGACCTCCCACCATACCTGTTGTATAATTCCGCCATTTTCCCCCATTTGCCCGAGTATCTGCATCAGTTCGCTTCGTCCGTGAATTTCCTTAATTTTCTCCATATCAAGAGTAATGGCTAAAGAATTTAGATCCTCTGCATTGCTGAATTAGTTGTTAATTTATTTCAAACTATGATCCTTCTTATGTATGTAGTAGAATTAGTCCTCAAAGTATCAGTAGTTTGTACGCATGGATGAGCTTAAAGTTTGCACATGCGATCACCATACCTTGTGCTTTAATCAACTTTTAATATTGGAGATCGTGGAGATTCGAACATATGACCACTTGGTCAAACCAGCTCTGATACCATGTCATAAACCAACTAGTTACAATAACTCGAATTGTTAGAAGAAGGTTATTATGGATCTTATATCACTCTCTTACCGTGTTTAATGGAAAAGTTGAATTGTATTATAAATTTAATTATACAAGGGTATGAAGATAATTTGTGTTCCATATAAAAAAATCTAATCTAAGTAAAATCCATAATAAAATCTAATAAGCTATTTCAAATCTATAATGCCAGAACTCAATGACAAATCAATCTTGGATTTCTCATGCTCAGTAGACTTGTTATTGTTATTATTGGCAGCAATCCACAACATGAGCCACCGCCCAACAGAGAATGTGGAAGGAAACTCGAGGACTAATGGCAACAGGAAGCGACAGTTTGGGACAGACATGGAGCGATTGAACCTCGACCTGAACCTTCCACCTAGCCTGGAGGCGCCCGACCAGCCGCCCCAAATTAGCAGCAACATTATTGATGTTGGTCAAGCTGCAGCTGAAGCCACTAATAATGTTGCTGTTGAACAAGTTCCGAGTGAAGCAGGGGAAAATAGTGCTCTTGGTGATCAAGCTCCATTTGAGGTAACAATGAAACCGCCACACCCTCTAGTGAAGTAAGAACATTAAAGCTGATCATCACATTTCAGTTTTTGATCAATATGATCTTTTCCCCTATGACAGGGCAGGAGAACCCGTCAAAGAAGCAGTAACAGAAACAAGAGCATCAATATTGGAGAAGGCAGTGGAAGTTCAGCAACTCGGACTGTGGCCGCCTCCAACGTCCAGGTTTGTTTTGATTGTTGAAAGCGGTTTTTCATTCACTAGTTGTGTTTGATTCCACTCTTACTTACCTGCTCTTTTGTGGTTGAATTATTCAATCATGCAGGAAGACACACCAGCAGGGGCAACTACTGAGCAACTGGGAAACTCAACAGCACCAGCTCCGGGAGCTGCCCCGCGGCTGATCTGCCCTGTGTGCACGATGAGGATGAGGGAGCCAACAGCCACCAAGTGCGGCCATGTCTTCTGCAAGATTTGCATCAACAACACCATGCATTATAATAATAAGAAATGTCCAGTTTGCAGGGTCCCTATACGCAGCAAAGATTCCACCTTTCGAATCTACCTTCCTTTGGCTTAGTTTGAGGATCTGACTAGTCCAGGGACAAGCTTGATTAACAGATAAAGCCAAGTTGCATGGTTGGTGGTGGGATGTAGTGGATTTTTTTTTTTTTTTGGATTAAGCATTTTATGACTGAATTGGGTTGAAGTCTTTAATTATAATGAACTGATAAATTCTGGCTTTTTTAAACTTGTTTTAATTATGTGTTGCCTGCTCCATGTCTTATATATCTGGTTTGGTATATTTGTAAACTGGTATCAATCTCAATTGCATGCTATCCAAAGAACATGATTCTGTGGCGGATCTAGAAGAGGAGGCTAGAGAAGCTGCTGTGGCAGTGGCACACATATATAGATTTGACAGCAAATTGAATGCTACAACAAAATCGACCCATGGAGGTGTGGTGTGGCTGCGGTGACAGACAAAAAAGATGGAGAAAGAAAAGAACCCACAACGCCACTTCCCTTCTTAATATACAGCCAGGGTAGAGCAGAGACAGATTTTCTATGCAAGCAAAACAGAGAGTATGGTAATGGTATAGATGGGGATATATATAGCATTAGCAGAGGAGATGAGTTTTCAGACATTGCCCAAGTTGTCGTCAGGCTTGGTGTGAGGCGGCGGCGGCGAAGCGGGATTATGTGCACCAAGGCCAGGTGGAGGAGTGGGAATCCCGAAGACTTGAGGATTGGTACGGATGTCCTGTCTGCCTTTGTTTCGTCCGAGGAAGTAGCAACCGACGCCGATGAGAATGCAGAATAATATGAGCGGCAGCGATATCACCACTACCATCCCCATCTTTCCTTCAAGAGCAGAGCGGCTCTCAATTTGCGGCTGATTGGGTTATCTATGAAGCCGGGAGTGGGAGGGATTCAGAGGAGCTGGAAACAGAATGAATTTTACATTGGTGTGAAATGGAGGGGAGATGGCTTCGTTTATATATATTATTATTCTGCTGCTACTTCCTTCTTCAACGTTCGAGTTTCGAAAAAGTAGATGGCAAGGCAACGGTCATCTTTTTCTACGGTGGGCCAGGCCCAGCAGAGCCAACAAGCGGTGGACCTCGCTGGCTTCTTCTCCTTTTGCTTGCCGCAGTATTTAAGAATCTCATTCTTCTCTGGTGGTGGTGGGTGAAGAATCTCAAGCTGTCATCGGAGCTAGCAAAGCTTGGATTCGACAACTCAGACTGGATTCCGAGAGATAGTAGCTTAGGAACTCGCTCCAGTTTCCCCTTCCGGAAACTCAGATCCAATCACCGGGAACAGCAGCGATCCTTTTAAATCAAATCTCACTCTCTCATTTCTCAAAAAAAAAAAAAAATCTCACTCTCTCATAGTGGCGGTTTCGGTTATTTGGTTTTAACCAAAATCAAATCGATTTTATAAGCTTATTGGTTTCTCTTAATAGCTACAAACTAATAATAACCTAACGATTTCGATTAAAATCGGAAATAGTAAGTGTCTCCAAATGCACCAAAAGTCCTCCCACAAGTTCAAGTAGCAAGTCACCATCAATAAGGGTGAACGAAAAGACTCGTAAACTAATCCACCTGCTCAATCCGACCCAACTCACTCGTATTTAGCTAATATTAAGCTAATGTTGGGTGAGTGCTTTATTTTGTTCAACCCACATCTTTTAGATTGGGTGCGCATTTTGTGTTACACAACCCGTAGAACCCGACCCAATTCGTGTTCCAACTATTGTGATAAATGTCCGTATCCAAAACATAGTGTTGTATATAGGCATGTTTGTGAAAAAATTAAGATATTTTGTCATATTTTTCACTCATGGCCTCCTTAACCTAATGCATTCTTCAACTAGAAATTTAAACGTGATTCAATATAAACTATGCTTCACATAATATATTTGTTTCAAATAGTTGCATTTTTTGTGTTGGGTTGAGCTTTTACTTAAAAAAGTAAGGATTGAAATACCATACCGAAGGTTGTACCGAAAAAGCCAGAGGTAGGATATTTTACGCTAAAACTGTGATATAACTGTGGTTCAACCACTTCATATCGCTAAATACCGTCTACCGGTTTAACCTCCGATAGAAGGTTTTTTGGTCGAACCGCTGGTATGGTACGGTATTTCAATCATTGCTTAAAAGTATCATCCACACAAACCAATTATAAACAAACAGTAGGATTCTTGGTTTTTAGGGTGGGTTTGGGATTAATGTTTTCAAAATCGTAATGTATGGATAAGGTGATTAAAATGACTAAACGCGGACCACCAACTCATGTACACCTTTAACCGTAAGGTAAACGATTCCTTCAGACCCCATATTTGAGTTATCAAACTTATAAATAATAAGCAACTAGCAAAATCCCGCTCGCTATCGCTTCACGTATCACAAAGATAAATATTTTAAACATAATAGTTTTAATGTTGACCCAAAAGTGAAAGTAATATTACGTTATTATTAATCATTCTTTTCATAGGTTTGTTATTTACAATAGCATATGGTCGATGGACTTGCATAAGGTAGAGGGGTCGTCGAATATATTATTTATGTTTAAACTTCTTTCATGACGCTAATGTTTCAATTTATATGGCTTTTTTTTTTTGGTTTGAGGTAATCGTGGTTCTCCTTTGTGAAATATTTGGACTGGTTACAGGTTTGAGGAGGTTCAACTCACATTGATCGGGTCAAATTAGGTTGGATACCCATGGATTTGGGTTCAATTGTCTTTCTCAAACAAAAGGAAAAAGCGAAATGAAAAACACTGAAGCTAAAACTCGCTACCGACTCAAAACTCGTCAACACCAGGTTCAACTTGCTTTGACCTGGTTGGTCCGAGTTTTGGACAAATTCACACATGACACAACACGCCAATTACAAAAACAAATAAAACTCGCTCCCGCCGAAAACCTGTAAAATTGGGTTCAAGTCGCTTTGGTCGGGTCGAATTAGGTTGTATACCCATGCGTTTGGACTCAATTATCATTCTCAACCAAAAGGAAAAAGTTAAAAAAAATACTAAAGCAGATTAAACTCGCTCATGACCCCAAACTCTCAACACTGCGTTCAACTTGCTCTGACCAGGTCGACCCAGTTTTAACAAATTCACAATTTACCCAACCTGTCAATTAAAAAAGCGGATAAAACTCGCTGTCGATACGAAACGCGTCAACGATGGGTCAGAGTTCAATTATCATTCTCAACAAAAAGGAAAATGAGAAATAAAAAAATTAAAGCGTACAAAACTCGTTTTCGTTCTAAAACTGGTCAACAACATGTTGAACTCGCTTTGAACATTTTTTAACAAATTAACACTTGGTCCAACCTGCCAACTACAAAAGCGGATAAAGCTCGCTCACAATACAACACTCGTCAAAATCTTAGATTCGTGTTCAATTGTCTTCCCAAACAAAAGAAAAAGAAAAAAGCAATTTATGAATGCTAAAGTCGGTTTCAAGTCGCTTTGACTGGATCGAATTAGGTTGGATACCCATGGATTTGGGTTCAATTGTGATTGACTCGCCTGTGTTGTCACACTAGAAAGTGGCCAAGTGTAACCACTTACTAATGCGTAGTATAGCGGGTTTAGATTTAATTGTCAACCCAGGTCCTAGGTGTGATGACTACTTCGTGAAGTTCTTATTATTTAGCGGTTCAAGTGAAGTGAAGTTTCAACTAAACTAACAAACACAAGCAGTAAAAGTTGTGATTCAAGTTTGAGAGAGGTCACCTAGATATGGTTCCCCCTAGATTGCAGTTAAGCCAAGTTGTACTTCACCAAGTCCAGATTAAATGATAATTATACTGCGGAAGGTTCTTATTCAGTCTGAAGTCTCGACTAAATGTCTCCAGAACCTCTCAATCTGAATACCCGGCGGTCGACTAACCTCCATCGGAGTAAACAAACTGAGGCCCTAACGTACCAAACTTCCTCTACTGGCGTAAATCCAATACAGAATAGTGAATTGACTCCGCGACTAAAGTCGTCAATTCACTACCTTCAATTAAGGGTGCTCTATCAACCTAGGCAGATATTCTCTTTCTATGTCAAAGCAGGAACTACAAGAATTTGATCAGGACTCATGCAATTCAGAAAATCATGCATCAATTGAATATAATCGATGTCAAAGAACATGTACTTGGGTTCATACAACCAAACCTAACGTACAAATCTAGGGTTCTTCATACCCAGGTGAGTGAGAGAGTTTACTCCATAGAGAGAGAAGATAAATCAGCTTCAGATGCGGAAATCATTCTGTGAAGGATGAAAATCATATTCTGGTAATTAATAGGCACTTCTCCAAGCTTCAACCGAGCTCCAAGGGTGTTGAATAAGATCTAGGGCAGCTGGAAGTTCTGTTCGTTGCTTTCTTTCTCTAGGTTTCTGCTTTCTTTCTCTAAAACTCGGATCCCCCTCAAAAGAGGCCAACTTTGCTTGAAAAGGAGCAGATCACGCTACCCGACCTAAATACCCGGTTGGGTATTCTTGTGAAACGATCGGGTTTTCAAAAAGCAGCACATAGGGAAGGGGGTAATACCCGATCGAGGGTCAGAATACCCGATCGGGTATTTAAGCGCCACGGGCGGGTCCCCTTATGCTCTCCCGACCTCCAAAACAGCTTTACCCGGTCGGGTATTTCAATGTCTGACCGGGTATTTTTGCCTTCCAGCTCCTCTAGCTCCAACTCGCCACTTTTTGACCCGAAACTCGCTTCCATGCATCTATGTCCATGCCAAGTCCTGAAATATGACATAAACGAAAAACCTAGTGTGAAATCGGCTTAAAACACGAGAATCGACTCTTAAACGGTTCAAGAATGGTGGTCAAAACATGTGCAAATAATGGTCTATCAAATTCCCCCTCACTTAACCTTTTGCTTATCTCCAAGCAAACCTAACTCAAACCTAGGGGTGCTAAACGCTCGGTAACCGGTTAAACCGGTTACCGTTTAGCCGGTTTTTGGTATACCAGAATCCCCCACTCCGCTTCAATTAGCAAATACCGAGAATTATCGATATGCCGCACACCAATTTCGGTAATGTTAGCGATGTCCCGATTTCCGGCAGGTTGGCTGGGCGATATTTATTTTAGCGCCGAAGGACATAATTAGAGACCCAAGTTTTGTGTCTCAACTCTCTCGCTGTCAACAAGTCCCAAGTCCCAATTCACTTGTGTCTGCTAGTGGAACTTGGAAGGAAATAAACAATAGTTTTCATTTCTTCTACTCTTGTCTTGTCTGCTAATGAAATCATGAAAACATGAAATAAAGTGGAACTGTGGAAGCCTATAAACAATGGTTTTCATTTCTTGTGTCATAATTGTCTTCTATGTCCTTCACTGCTCTGCTCTGCTTGCCGCTCGGCTACGAGGCTACTATCATAATTGACAAAAGGAATACTGAAATATAATATTGAAACTTGAAAGATTGAAAGTATGAAACTCGCTTGTCGGCTACACAAAGTCAGAAACACAGGTTACCTCTAAAATGGACGGAGAGCCAGAGAAGGGACGGTGACGGGGTTCGACGGAAACAGAGAAACGGCAAAGGGAGGGACTTAACGGAAACAGAGCCCGGCGGAGAGGATGCCTGGTCTGGATTTGGGCTGCTGGTCCTGTCTCTTGACCCTTGGGTGGAGCTTGTGCTAGTGACGGAGATGACGGGGTTCGACGGAGACGACTGGGTTGGACGGAAAAAGATCAACGACGACGGGACAAGACGGAAACAGAGCCTGGCAGAGTAGAGGATGACTGGATGAGGGCTGCTGCCTACTGGGTCGTGCCCTTGGGTGGAGCTTGCGCCAGTGACAAGGACGACGTTTGGATTCGAATTTGATGAACGGAGGAGGAGGGATCGGCGGTCGTGCAGCAGTCAGGGGATGCAAATAGAAATTCTTATTCTTGTGTCCACTTTAGATGGTTAGGGATTTTTTAGGGTGGCCGACGTT